CCATGGTAATCAGAAAAGACATGAGCTATGATTTCAATTTTTTTGAATTTGTTGAGACTTTTTTGTGGCTAGACATATGGTCCATAATGGAGAACATTCCATGTGTTGACAGAAGAATGGTTTTCTGCAACTGGTGGGTAAAATGTTCTGTAAATGTCTATCAGGTCCATTGGGTCTGCAGTATGGTCTAACTCCAACGTTACTCTGTTGATTCTTTTGTCTGAACCACCTGTCGGTTGATGAAACCAGGGGCTGAAGTCCCCAGTGTTATTGTAATAGAGTCTCTCTCTCCTTTAAATCTTTAAATAATGTCTGCTTTACGTAACTGGGTGCACCAGCATTGTGTGTATATATAATTGTTGTTTCGTCTTATTGAATTTTTCCCTTTATCATTATAGAGGGCCCTTCTTTGTCTCTCTTTACAGTTTTTCACTTAAAGTCCATTGATCTGCTATAAATATAGCTCCCTCAGCTCACATTCGGTTTCCATTTACATGGTATATCTTTTTCATTGCTTTTCTATCAGTCTATGTGTGTCTTATTTGGAGAAGTGAGTTTCTTGTAGGCAGCATAGTCATTTTTTGTTGTTTTGGTTTGATTTTTTAAATCCATTCAGTCTATCTATGTTTTTTGATTGGTGAATTTAGTTACTGTCAAAGTTATTACTCATAAGGAAAGCCATATTTCTGTCAACTTCTTGGTTTTTTCCTGGGTGTTTTGTAGATCTTCTGTTCCTTTCTTCCTCCCTTGCTGTTTTGGAGGTCTGGGGGCTTGGTCATTTTGTGTACTGATTGACCTCTTCTGTGCATCTGCTCTACCAGTGAGTTTTAGACTTCCACAGGTTTCATGGTGGTAGTTATTACCCTTTCATTTCCAGTGTGGGGCTTCTCTTAAGCATTTATTGTAGGTCCAGTATGGGGATTATAAAATCCCTCAGTTTTTGTTTGCCTTAAAAAGAGTTGATTTCTCTTTCCTTTCTGAAGGATAGCTTTGTAGCGTGTTCTTCATTGCTGGGGGTTTGTTTCGTTTCTTTCAGCCTCTGACGGTGCCATTCCATTCTCTCCTGGACTATAAAGTTTCTGCTGCAAAGTCTGTTATTAGCATAACGGAGATTTCTTTATATGTGACCTAACTTTTTTTTTTTTTTTTTTTTTTTTTTGCTATCATTAGAATTCTACCTTTGACTTTTGATGATTTGACCATAATATGCCTCAGAGAGGATCTGTTTTGGTTGAATCTGCAGGGGTTCTTTGAGCTTACTGGTCCTGAATATCCATCTTTCCTAAGTTTTGGAACATTTTTAGCAATTATTTCATTGAATAGATTTTTCTATGCCTTTTCTCTTCTCCTTTGGAATAACCACACTGTGAATGTTTGCTCACTCAATGGTGTCTCACAGTCTCAAAGGCTTTCTTCATACTTTATTTTTGTTGTTTTTTTTGGTCTCACTAAGTTATTTTAAAAGACCTGTCTTCAAGTTCAGAAATCCTTTTCTTCTGCTAGATCTATTCTCCTGTTGAGGTTCTCTACTGTGTTTTTTATTTCTATTGATTAAGTTCTTTAGCCCCATGATTTATGTTGGGCCCTTTTTTATGAAATGCTAACTTTTTACTGAATTTCTCATTTCTATCAGGAGTTACCTTTCCTAATTTCACTGAATTGTCTGTGTTCTCTTGTATCTTATTAAGTCCTTAAAAAGTCATTATTTGGGGGCTGGGGTTGTGGCTCAGAAGCAGAGCGCTCACCTAGCATGCATAAGACACTGGGTTCTCATAAAAATAAAATAAAGAGAGCTGGGTTGTGGTTCAGCGGTAGAGCATGTGCCTCATAGGTGTGATGCATTGGGCTTGATTCTCAACACCACAAACAGATAAATGAATACAATAAAGGTTCATCAACAATTTAAAAATAAATAAATAAAATACAGGTATTGTGTCCACCTACAACTAAAAATAGTTTTTAAAAAAGTCATTATTTTGTATCTTTTTCAGGCAATTCACTGATTTCCTTTTATTTGTGGTCTATTGCTAGAGCCATGCTCCTTTGTAGGTGTCGGCGTTTTTTCATGCTTCTTGTGTCCCTACACTGACATTGGTATATCTGGTGGATCTGCTGCCTCTACCAACTTTATAACATGCCTTTCATAATAAAAGACTTCTCCTGACCGCATGTCCTAGGACGGCGGTTGGAAAGGCTGCACTGGCTTTGGTTCTAGGTGGGTATTCAGTGGAGCTTCTTCAGCTATAATCAACATCAGCAATATCTGCATAAGTCTCAGTGGCCCAGGCTGCAGGGATTGTAGTCTTGTACCACCATCTGTGGTGCACATGTCAGTTTCTCTGAACATTGTATAGGGGCAAGACCATTCTGGTGGGCCCAGGTGGATGCACTGAAGTGCCTGGTAGTGGGGCAGGGTACCTATCAGTGCCTGCAGTGTCTTGCCTGGGAGCCAGAATGTTCTGGTGGGATCGCACAGGGCACCCATTATTATCCAAGAGCTGTGCAGGGCCTCCAGGGGCCAACGTGCTCAGCTGCTGCCCAGGATTGAGGGTGGGTCAGCACGTCTGCCTGTCTGATTCTCAGGCCCTCAGGGGCCACACGACTGGCAGTTCAACTGCTTCTTGGGGCTGCAGAAGGATAAGCGGAACATCGAGTTGCTTCCTGGGCCCAAGGGCAGATAGTATTATTTCTATGGATCATGTCATGGAAATGCAGAAAGCCAAATTTGTACCAAATAAATATGTGCAATATGAGGGTGACTGGTATTGTCTTAAAATGGAAAAACACCTAAGATAACGATTTGAGCATCACAAGGTACTACTGACAAAACACTTCAAAGGTATATAAATTCATTAGAGATGAATTCTTAAGTATTTATGGGAAAAATGACATAATATCTGTCATTGTCTTAAAACACTCTGGGGTCCTCAAAAAAGCTGTGGAGGAAAGATAAAAAGAACTGATAAAATTATTATTTTAAGCTCAGGATGAGCATATGTAATTCTACATTTGTATACATTTAAAAATGTCTATAATAAAAAGAAAAGTATGATATTAAGGAACTACTGTTAAATTTAGGGAGTGTGATAATTTTGTGGACAGATATATACGTATGAGAGTGTGAGTGTGTGGGTGTGAGCTAGTGTGTTTAACAGGCCTTATCTTTCAGAGGTATAAGCTAAAATATTTATAAGTGAGATGATACAATGCCTGAGATTCACGGCAAAATAATGTGACAGGTGGGAAAGTGAATGGGGGAATAGATGTAATGAGTCTGGCTAGAAGCTGAACACTGTGGAAACCATATGGTAGGTACCCGGGGGGTATCAAACTAGTCTGTGTACTTTTATATATGCTTGAAATTTTTCCATAATTTTAAAGATTTTCTAAATTAAATAACAGAGTCAGATGCAATAGCACACGCCTGTAGTCTCAGCCACCCGAGGGGCTGTGCGACAGGAGAATGGCTTGATTAGAAGTCAGAGTCTAGCCTGAGCACACAGCAAGACCCCGTCTCAAAAAATAAACAAATGAATGAATAATTTCTAAAATAATCTCCCATTTTCAAAAAATATAAAAATAAAATGAAATTCTACTTACAAATCAAAACAACTATGCTCAGTTGTCTCACCTGTTTGGACTTGGAACCTGGACTCTGGCACGAAGAAAGAAGGTTTCACAGACAGGATTAAAGGAGTTTGGTCACGCACAAGTTTACTACTAATAAGCACATTAATGACTGATATTGCCGTGTAAACAAAAGGACCGGATGTTACCAGAAAAGTGAAGTCAGTGAATAGTTCATAAACCTAGGGAAATAAAAAATACAAAAGACAATTCAAGCTGAGAGGAAGTTGTACTGGGCAGAAAGATAATACATTAAATTTAAAATATATATATATATCAGTATTTTAAATGAAAGGGTAGTGCTTCACAGAAAATCAAAATTTTTAGTTACTCTTATATTCTTTCAATCTTCTCAAAAACAGCTCAGAATTACCAGAGCAGCAGGAAACAATAGCCAGTAATATGAACTGAATAACGAGCTACAGAGAATTCAAGGTGTTCGTCATGTTTAAACCACACAGAAAAGAGCACTTTCTCTATATTAAGCATTCGCTGTCCAAAATACCATGGAAGCCACTTAGACAATTTTAAGATTTCTAGAGACCACATTAAAAAACATAAGATTACTGGAAATTCATCTTAAATACACCTTACTTAACACAACACAATATCGTTCAATATGTGGTCAATACAAAAAAAAATTATAAGGGAGATATTTCCATTCCTCTTTTCACTCTATTCTTAAAATCTTCAGCTCCACCACATGGGAGCACATCTTAGGGCACATCTCAGTTTCTGACAAGAGCCCCATTTCGTGTGCTCGCAGTCACCTTGTGGATGACGCAGGTCTAGAGAGCTGACTCCCTCAGCTCATCTAGGAGAAGGGGCCCTGGGGGGACTGGTGTAGAAGATTCAGAAATCCATCTCCGTCTCACTCAATGTACTGAGAGATGCCTATGCACTCACTCTGAGATTTCATTTAAACTCAAACCCAAGTCCTTTAATGTCAATCAAGGGAAGCAAAAATTGTTAAGGTCACCCCCAAAAGTGTCACCTCTGGTCTGAGAGACCCTCAGTCCCAACTCTGCCAAAATGTCCCCCCAATGAACTCAACTTGACCCTGTCTGGCATCAGGAGAGGCTTCCCCGATGAAATGACATTGAGAGGAGATGGAGAGGATGAGCGGGAAGGAGCAGCAGAGGGGTTAGAGGAAGAACTGGCAGGGCCTCATCGCGTGCCGTCGGACTCAACCGCACGTCCAGCCGGCTCACCTTCAGCTCCACCGCGCGGTTGAAGTGAATCCTCAGCACTTCCTTGATGGAGGTGATGATGTACTCCTGCACTGCTCTTCTGGCCAGCACTAGATCAAAGACAACCACCGCGTGCAGCTGAGCATCACTAGGAATACCAAGCTATGCCAAAATGTGTTAGCCAGGGGACAAAGAGCTTCCAGTTCCCGTTTCTATCTCAACAAACAGCAGGTTGTCCCCTGGCTATGGCCCGAATGGCAAAACACCAGACTTTAGAAGCTCTCAGAAGCAATGTTTTTAAAGGCTTTAAGATGCTGCTCGACACAACTAGAAGACTTTTCCCTTCTAGGGCCTCCTCCCTCTTCAAAGCAGCAGGTGAAGAATGTTAACCACTGAGGGTGGGGAAAAAACATCATCCCAATTCCCATATTTTAAATTTTTGTGCAGGAAATAAAATATTTCTCAAACTACAGCCTAGTTAGCCTAGTTCTGTTGAATTTTTTTCACATCTAAAAAGTTCCATTTAAAAACTCACGTTAATGTGTATGCCTGCTGCCCTGTGTCCACTGAGTATTTAGTAAGCTTGCCCTCCCTTCCCCCACCATTTTTTCCTTCCTCTTCCATCAACTTGCCATAGCACAAAATTAGGATGCAGTTGATATTATTATTCCATTTTTCATTTCCCTGATCTTAATTTTTAGAAATGGAGAGAGAATCATTCCACATTCTTTATTCTTAAAAAAGTGTGCCCATCAATAGATGAACAGATTAATAAATTATATGTGTGTGTGTGTGTGTATGTACACACATATATATTTGCAACAGAGTTCTACCCGGCCATAAAAAAGAATGAATTGTAGCATCTGCTGGTAAATGGATGGAGATGGAGAATATCATACTAAGGAAAATTAGCCAAACTCAAAAACTCAAAGGTCAAATGTTTTCTTTCACACTTGGAAGCTAGAGTGAAATAAAGGAAAAGAGGGGGGAAGGATAAGATGACATAAAGAACCAACCAAATATAAATTAATAGGCAAGCAAAAGGAAGTCTAGTAGAGAGAGGAGGATGGGAGAGGGAAGGGGGCACAGGAGAGAAAGGGAGGGATCATGAACTGAAGCCGACTTCCATGCAAGTGTGAGTTTGTCAGGACCAACCCAGCTACTAGGTATGACTATAAAGCTCTAATAATAATTTTTTTTAAAAAAAATACAAGTTACATTTGATTGTTTTCCCAACAAATCAGTGACCCGGATATAAAATGGTAAGGGGGACCGCTCATTTAGCTCATGAGACGATTAGGACAAATCCATGACTTGGAGCACCTTGCTGGGTCATGCCGGTGCCACCATAGTCTGCACAGGCTCCAGGTGGATCAGAGTGGACCGTGGATCTCAAGAGAAAGACAGAATGAACAGGAAGGAGAAGGGAGAATGGAAAGATGTCCTATTTAAGAAAGGAAATAAGGAGGGACGGGGAGAGGAGGACAGGAAGGGCCTCCAGAACTAAGGTTGGGGAAGGACAGAGACAGAAAGTCAGAAACAGAAGAACCATCAGGGGAAGCAGAGAGCATGGACTGCATGTGACTCCACAGCCAGGTGCTGCTCTACATGGCCCCACAGCCACCATAACTGCCACCCGCCCTAAGCAATCTGAGGAAGATATTATAAAACGAACATTGAGATGTGAGAACTACAGTCTCTGGGGAGAAAAAGAATCATCCAGAAACAGCTCTTACAGTTATTTAGCCAACTATCTATAGTTTCCCCAGAGCCAGCAGAAGAGAGGTGAGGAGCCCTCCCGAAGAGGGCATGGGTCAGGAAGCATGGTCACCCCCGCTGGACACCTGTGGTCAAGGGTCTCCCTGCAAGGACACCAAGGATCAAGAGCACCTAGAGTGGTTCTACCCTCTTACAAAGAACCACCTCGAACCCCACTCCAGACTCTCTCATAGATAAAATGAAAGCCACCGAGGTCAAATCTAAGCCAGCACTGGAGATGAGCTGATCTGTCCTCTCGTCAAAGGCCTTACTGAAAGCGAGAGATGGCATCTACCTCCCCTCCAAACACAAAGTGACAACAGGGTGCTCTGCACAGCTGACAAAGCACAGTCGTAAGAGGTGAGTTTTGTTCCAAAAGGCAGTTTAAAAACATAGATACCCAATAAAGGGCGTCATTAAATGTATACCACATATGAAAGTTAAATTTATCCTCTATGATGCCCAGTGTTCTCAGAGGTACTCCTAAAATGGTTTCCAGTTGTGTGCAGAAGAATTTTAAAAGATACAACATTGTATCATAAATATCCTAGTATCTCAGAGATAAAGATGCTTTCAGTAACTCCTTTAATAAGCTCCTTACATCCAACCACTCTAGAAAAAAAAAAAAAAGAATGAAAATATTTTTGTCAATGAGAAACTCCTCTCACGGCTCAACTGCCTTGGTCCTACAGATTGAAGTGTCTAATTTTGTTCCAACCTCATTTCCTACCAGTCACCTCCTCCTCCCATTACCTAATTTCCAGCCCATGGCTCACCGCCTTCCCTACCAGGCTCTAAGACCACATCTTCCTTGACTCTATCCCTCACAGCCTCGAGAAGGACACACACTTACGATTTGTCACCTGAATTGCAGAGGTTACTATGGGGTGAGGAGAGCCAAGGCTGCCAGGGTCCCAGCCCACTGCGAGGGTGGCGGCTCTGTCCTGGTGGTGGGCAGAGGCTCCATGGTCCACCGCACTCGGCATGGGGGAAACGGACCAGGCATGCTCTTCTCTGTCCTCGCCTGCACCTTTTCCCGTGCCTCTTCCTCTTTATCCACTCTACTCCACTTCTTCCCTGCTTCTCCTGCCGTTTTTCTCTCCCTTCTTCATCAAAACTATCCCCACCAAAACCAATTCACAGAGCCAGGATCTGTCACGTGAGGCTGGAGGCGAACACACACTCGTAGCCCACCAGACGTCATGTACGTCCAAGTCACTTCTCATGGAGAGCTGATCGAGCAGGCCTCCTCCCTGGACACTGCCCTTGAGAGAAGTCGGCCTGGTACAGCATGTCCCCAGGTGGGCTGCAGCCCAATGTGGCTGGAGCAGCCCACAATGCTCAGGACCCTGGAGCTCAGCTGGCCACCAACCGAGGCTACAGGCGGGGCAGAGGATCAAAGTCTGTGACTACGTTCAGAGGACATTTATTCATTCCATTTTTCTTTCCTTGGGATCCAAATGACATTTACAGGGATATATAAAAGCAAAAGCAAGAATAGTAAATCAGTGTAAAATTGCAAAGGTTACCCTTATGCAACTGCCCGACTCTGCTTGAACTCAATGAGAACGGGCTTCCTTTCAACCATGTCATCCATGTGCCCACTGAGCTATGAGCTTTGAAGACAAAGACCCTACCAAAAGCTCCATGGTTCATTTAAATCCTCTATTTGCTTTTATTGCAAGCACTAATAGGTAATCTTCAGGGTGCTTGCTCAGTGCCAGGTACTGGGCTAAGTAGTTTACATACATAGATGCATTTCAGGTCTCCCATAAGCACTGCTCACGAGCACCTTAGGAAAAGCCCCCTCCCCAGAGAGGCAACCGGACGCAGGGCCTTACCAGTTGTGATCAAGTAGGCATCGGGGACTGTAATGTCACACACATAAGGTGGCTTGGTGGTGGCCGGTGCTGGAGTACTCACTGTCGCTTCAAGAGTGGAGGTGGTCACAGGGTGGAGGGATGGCAACGGAGGGGCCACACTGCCCTCCGGGGGGCTCGGACTCCCAGTGCCACTGCTCAGGTCAGCGTCCACAGTATGGGCAGCAGTGCTGTTGGGTGTGCTTGGCTCAGGGGATGTGTCCCCCGGTGAGCCTGTGAGCGTGGACGGTGGCTCTGTGGGCAGGGGTGACGAGCTCCCACACGGGACAAGTGAGGACGCTGTTGGTAGATATGCGTCGCTGACGGACACTGGACGGGTGGGAATGACTTGGGAGGAAGAGGGTGAGACAGAGGTGTGATAGTCTGTAGCACTGACCGGGTCCTCCGAGGGTGTCAGAGCCGAGGACAGAAAAGCCTTGGTGAAGACAGGTGTCAGAGGGGAAGCAGGGGACGGTGACCAGGGGTGAGTCGCAGCAGTCGAGACGTCGAGGGTGGGCTCGGAGCCGGAGGGCACGAGCGTGGCGGCTGCAGAGCCGTGGCGGGTGGGCAAGAACTCAAAAGAGGAGGTAGTTGCAGCGAGAGCCGAGGTCAAAAGGGCGTCGGAGTCCGTGGGCGCGACCGTGGATGAGCCAGCAAGCTGGAGAGGATCCGAGGAGAAGCTCGGCAGCACCGGCACGTCAGAAGGACCAGGGAGAGAGGTGACAGTCCTTGAAGGAAGGTCCGCACTCGGCCAGAGCTGAGGAGGCGCCAGGTCTGTGGAACTCGGGGCAGAAAGAGGCGGTGAGTGCAGACTGGCAGGGCCAGGCAAGGCCGAGGTCGCCACCCAGGCAGAAAGGGACTGAGACGTGATGGGGGACAGGCCACTTGGCATCAGAGATGGGGCAGCAGGGGCCTGGGAAGAGGAGGGGGCCGGGCTGCCTAGGTCCAGCAGAGGCGTGGAGGGGAGGCTGGACGCCAGATCCAGGACAGTCGGCCACCCCTGGGCAGAAGCCCCCGGGGGTTCCTGGTGGGAGAAAAGTGAAGGCTCTGCCGGAGGAACCAGAGTCTCAGAGGGGGACGGACTCGCGTCTCTGACCCAGAGGGACGGCGTGCTTTCCTTCACTGTGACAGAGAAAGCCGAGTCGAGGAGGACGCTGGCAGTGACCGAGAAAGACACAGCGGTCACACTGGATGGCGTTCCTCGAGCGTCGGCCACCGGAGAGAAGCCAAAGGCAGGCCCCAGGGACACTGGCGCAGAGAGGTGGTCAAGAGAAGAGTACACCTGGGCGCTGGTGACGCCGCTCGTGCCCACCTCGGCCGACACGCCTGGGCTGGCTTCCGACACCCTCAGGGATGGAGAAGCCAGGGAGACCACGGGCCTGGAGGGGAACAGGGTGTTATAATCTTGAGGATCTTCCTCCAACTCAGACAGGTCAGTGGCCTCGCTGCTCCACGGAGAGGGGCTGCTCGCTGCCAGCGTGGCCACCGTCAGGGTCTCAGGCCCATCCCCCGACCCCACGTCTCTCTCCACGGAACCTGTGGCCAGAACGTGCCGAGGAGATGCCACCGCACAGGACGCGCACCAGGTGTAGGGCCTGAGGGAGGCCGCGGGGCTCAGGACGAGGGTATCCGCCTTGTGACTGGGGACCACAGGACTGCCAGGTGACTCTGACGTGTCGCCGGCATCTCCAGGAAGGAAGGGGTCGTGTGAAGCATCCACTGACGGAGTAGAAAAAGACACAAACGCAGGAGGGGCGGAAAACGAAGCAGCCTGTGTGCTCCTGGAAGCAAAGGCCGTCTGTGACACGGTGACGGTGGGGTCCAGCCGTGGAAAGACAGTTTCCTCCAGACGCTGACTCTCAGCAGTGGTCACATCGGGGTGCGTGCCTGTGCGTGTGGCCAGGACCTGCTGTGGAGTCTGTGAGACCTCCCCGGGGGGCAGAGATGGCTGTTGGGGACCGCCATCACCTAGCGGTGGAGGCGAAGAAGACCACGAGCCCGAGGGCAGGGCCCCCGCGTCCTCTGTGACTGGAGCCACTGTCTCTGGCCAAGTCCTACTTGGTAACTGGCTGTAGGTTCCGGTAGGATAAAGCACCAGGTTCCCATTAAGAGTTGGAATTATACCCTCGGAGGTGGGAAAAGCTGACCAAGAGGTGCCAGGATGACTGGGGGACTCCATGTAAGTCGCTGGTGGCTGGGCTGAGCTCTGCCAGGCTGATGTCACCTCTTGGTCCTCTAGGGAAATCGTGGGTAGTGATGGAGTGGGCTTGAGCTCGGGCGTTTCTCCAGGCAGCTCTGGTGGGCTGACCACGATGGACTGTGTTGGGGATACCATCCGTGCAGAAGTCCAGGGAGCATCTGGCAAAAAGTTATCCATGTCATCGTCACCGAAGGCCACCTCATTACTCGTCACAGACCCATAATTTACCACAAAGACACTGTGATCTGCTGTACTTTGGGTCTGCTTTCCATGGTTTAAAAAGGCCGTATCAAAACTAGTGGCAGATGGAGAGGATGTGGGGAGAAGAGACCGGCTCAGCTGGGACCCCGCCGCTGTCTCTGTTAAGGCCACGTGTGCAGCGCTGGGCATGGTGCTGGTCTCCAGCAAGAGCTCCGCAGGGAAGGAAGAGAGGCCGTGCTGCTCCAGAGGGAGCTCATCTAGCAAGAAAACCAGAGCTGGGTTAGCTGCAATGCCACGGGAGTCGGACTGCTATGGTTTCCTTTCAGGCATCCACAGTTACTCATTCAGCAAACATCCACTCGCGGTAGAGAGCTACCATTCACAGCTACTCGGAAGCCAGATATGGCCAGAATCACCACGGGAAATGAATCTTCAAGCACTCAGAAACCTGAGCACCACCTTTATGTAAGCTGGTCTCTGTGTGTACACCTTTACACGCTTTCTCTTGCTTTCCGACAACAGACACTCGTACCCACAAAACCACACAACACAGGAAACAGGCTCTGGGAGGTTGTCTAGCCATTCTCCCTCATTTATCACACGAGGAAGGAGGTTAGAGAAGGTGGCCAAGTTCACTACAAGATCTGCCTGGAGGGAAGCCAGCATCTAACACAGGGCTGCCCTGACCCCGAGTCCACGGTTCTCTCTTCCAATCACAAGCTGACTCCTGCGAGGACAGAGTGCCTCCTGGCAGCACCACTCAGGTCCTGGTGACAGTTCCAGGCTTTTCCAGTGGTGCTTCCAAAAGGTGAGACCTCCAGGCCCACCTTTCACCCCTGTCAAGCTCCACAACTATGCTCTGGCCAAATAAGTACCCTGCGGTTCCCCAAACCCAAATCTGCTCTGGCCTTGGTGACCTGCATCTTGATGTCCCCATTCCTGATTGCCCCTCCCTGGCTCTCCACCAGGCCTTTCCAGTCCTTCAGATAGCACACAGCTCTGGCCTCCTCCCTCCAAGCTCTGGTTATGGGTCACTGCCTCCCCCTGGGCTTCTACCTGTCACGCCTCTTACCATCAAACTACCTGCCTACTCATTCAACTATGAGCTTCGGGAAACAGGGACACTTCCTGTTTTCCTGGTAGCCAGTGCAGTGAGTGATGTTTTGTAGGAACTCAATAAACACCTGCTCAAATGAAGGAACGAACAGTGTCAGAGGAATACCAGGTTCTGACATGTGGCCAAATCATCCCATCGTCTGCTCAAACTCTGCTATTCTTGATCCTGGGACAGCCGTCATCATTTTAAAAGTTCAGGTGTCTCCACCTGTAATTTAGATATGTTGCCCAGAGAAGTTAGGTGAGTGACAGCCCAGCCACTGACAGAGGCCCAGAGTACTGTCCACTGCAGCACAGCTGGGGACAGGGCAGCGATCACAAACAGGAACAACACCTTCCACTTGTCCCAACTGTGTGTGAAATACTATAAAAATTACCCTTAACTCAGTCTTCCTTATGATTCTTGTCCTCATTTTAGAAAGGAAATTTGGACACACACACACACACACACAGAGAACACCTGTGAAGGTGAAGGAAGATCCAGGCAATCCTCCTAAGAGATAAGGAATGTCAAAGACTGCCAGCAAACACCAGCAGCCAGGAGAACCCCTGGGCAGGGCTCTCCCTCACAGCCTCAGAGAGAACCAGCCTGCTGACCCAGTCCTTGGACTGCTGGCCTCCAGAAGTGACCCAGCTAAGTTCTGTTGTTCAGGCCAAAAAAGAAGGAACGAAGTAAGGGAGGGAGGGAGGGGGAGAAAAGGAAAGAACAAATGTCTATCTCAACCCTGGCTTTGTGCAGCAATTACACAAGTCTCTCCAAGTTTAGAACCTTGTTTATTTATATGGTCCTAATAACTCTGTGCTAAGAGACCTAATTTAAAGTAGACCCAGTCTAGCTGGGCGCAGTGGTGCACACCTGTACATCCCAGTGGCTCAGAGGCTTAGGCAGGAGGATCATGAGTTTAAAGCCAACCTTGGCAAAAACAAGATGCTAAGCAATTCAGTGAGACCCTGTCTCTAAATAAAATACAAAACAGAGCTGGGGATGTGGCTCAGTGGTTGAGTGACTCTGAGTTCAATCCCTAGTATCCCCTCCCAAAAAATAAGCCCAGTCTCCAATGTCTGTCAGAATCTAATATAAATGATCCCAGGCCAGCGTGGTAACACACACTTATAGACCTAACTACAATGAAAGCTGAGGAGGCTGAGGCAGAAGAATCAGAGCCCAGGAGTCTGACACCAGCCTGGGTAACAGAGTGAAACCCTGTCTCAAAAAGAGAAAGGGGAAAAAAAAGTTGTCCTCAGAAGAACACACTCTCAAATCAAATATTCCCACAGCTACAGTTCCAACCAATATGAGCACAAAATTCAAATGAAAAACACACAGGAAAAGAAGGTACCATGAAAAGTCAAGCGAATTCCATGGAAAAGCCAAAAGAAACTAAATCAAAGTAATCTCAGATCTCAAAGACTTCAGATATTCTGGGAGACATTTTTAAGATATGTTTAATTCATCTAAAATAATAAGTGGGGATTAAAAACATGAGTTCTGAGCAAGACACTATGAAAACTGACCAGAAATATTTGAAAAGCCAACAAAGAACACTGAAAAATGAAAATATTGTAATTAAAATTTAAAAACTTAACACACACATCAAACAGCAATTTAGACCCAGCTGAAGTAAGATTTAGTGAACTGAGGGGCACATCTGAAGAAATCACCTAGAAACAAAGAGATGCAAACATAAGAAAGGAGACAGAATGAGACGTACCTTTGATCAAAGTTTTAGAAAAACGCAATAAAGGGAGTCACAGAGAAACAATATTCAAAGAGATAGCACTAATAATTTTCCAAGACTAAGGAGACACAAATCTTTCAATTTAGGAAAACCAGGAAATCCCAAACAAGGTGATTTTTTTTTTAAACCCATACTTATGATATTGTGCCACAGGTCACCAAAGACAAATTATGAGGGCTAGGGCTGTAGCTCAATGGCAGAGCGAAGGATGTCGATTACACAAGCAGAGAACTAGTCACAGAATAGAAGCTAGAGGACTAGGGAACAAACTCTTCAAGGAGTTGAGAGAAAATATCTGACATCTCAGACTTGAGCAAAAACTCCTCATCAAGAAGACACACATGGTTTGGTACATGGAATTCCAGCTAGCCAGCATGCTGAGGCAGAAGGATCACCATTTTGAGGCCAGCCTGGGCAACTCAGAGAGACTCTGTCTCAAATTAAAACTGGGCTGGGGATGCAGTCCAGAGGGAAAGTCCTTGCCCAGTGTGTGCAAGCCTCTGGTTGGACACCCAGTACTGAAAAAAAAGAGGAGGCAAGGGGAAGAGGAAGAGGAGGAGGAGGAAGCAGCAGCTACCCCCACCACCTCTAAACAAGGACATCCTTCAAGAACAAAGATAAATTATCTCAGACAAAAGGTCTGGGAAGAGGAGATAGAGAATAAGTAAATCACAAATAGATGGTAACTCTAAACAAACATTCATGGCACAAATGAATAATAATACTGCTATTTAATTTGTGAGTAAACGAAAGATGCATAAAATAGCATAGCTGCCTAGAAGGTGAAAGGAGGACAGCAGAGGGATCTGTGACTCACCGGTCGAGATGAGAATCAGAGTTCAGACAGGGGCTGGGGCTGGGGCTCAGTGGTACAGAGCTTATCTAACACATGTGAAGCACTGGGCTCAATCCTCAGACCACATAAAAATAAATAAATGAAGGTATTGAGCCCATCTACAACTAAAAATATACACATTAAAACAAAAGTTAAGACAAAACTCTGTGAATAGATTTTGTGTTAAATATCCTAAAATCTGTAAATAACGCTTAGTCCTATAGACAACATATTTCTAGCTGGTGCCTTTAACATATGAAAGCCACAAACCTCCATTCTCTTTTCTCTGGGACATGACTTAAAAGATGAACACAGGCTAGGGATGCAGCTCAGTGGTAGAGCGCTTGCCTCACATGCCCAAGGCCCCAAGTTCAATCTCTAGCACTGCAAAATTAGTTTAAAAAAAGAAAAGAGATACACGGTAAAAGGACACAATTTATTAAATAGAGATTTTAAGTTGTTTCATATGATGTTATTAAATGTTTTTTGCCTTCAATACAACCTGGCCCTAGGATTCCCTGGGTACGTGCTTTTATGACTTACCTGTCTCAGTCCAAGCACGGGTGAAAGAGAACATGATACTTAATACCAATCCAGTAAAACAGCAGCTGTTCTTCTCTGCAGTAAAGGCTGAAAGGCATATATTCAAGACGTAATACAAATCACAACTCTGTCCAACTGTACAGCATATAAATTTGAAAGTTTTCCGAAGGATGAGTCATTTTATGTGTCTGTTTTAAAACTCTGCTCTGATATAACTTGTTTTGAAATGTAAGAGCTGAACAAGGAGTGAGATCCCTTTTAGAAGAAATCAGAAACACATTTCAAGTGCACCAGAAGGCTGAGAGAGAGAAAAGTGATGTGGAGTGACTGATTTATGAACCAGATCTGATGCTACACTTGATCTTAGCCAAAAGGCCAAGAAGAGATCCAGCTCTGATGCAAATGAGAATTAAATCCACCCTGCCTTCAGAGGATAAGGGAGCAAGAAAGGCAAAGTCATCAAAAGGACCAAAAAAAAAAAAACTCCTAACTAGGAAAGCACAGGAACAAAGAAAAAAACAAAACTTCACATTGAGAAATGTCAAGCGTGCCAACCTGGGATTTTTTTTTTTTTTCCTTTTCTGCCAGGCCCTGGGGGAGAGACGGCAGCTGCAATGCCATGGGGAATTACTTCTGTGGTTAATTCAGGAAGAGGTTAGAAAACCCAGGTGAGTCTCTTTTTCAGCATAAAAGGCATCAGGGACTCTCATCTCAAGCCCTGGGGATCAATTTCCCAGCTCTAAAGCACTAGATCACAAAAGAGTAAAAGGTTCTCTCTTTGACAACAAAGAGAAAGGAACGGGGTTGGGGTGAGACCAAGTGCTTCTCAGACAGTGACGTGCCCGAAAATGATGTGGGGACCTTGAAAACATGCCACCCCCGCCCAGCAGTTCTGCGACGGGGCCTGGGCTTCAGCTTCGCTCCAGCTGACCCGGGTGTGCCACCCCACTCTAAGTAGCCAACATTGAGGCACCTTCTCTCCTTGAGCTTGCATAAACACATATTTATCAGGCACCCCCCACCCCCGCACCTGGCCATGCTATATGTCACAGCCCAGGAACTGCCCAAGTGCTGCCTCAGAGTGATTAAAAGTCAGGGATGAGGATCCCCAGCTATCTAAGACTCACACAAATAAGTATCTTTTTAAGTATCTATTTCTCTATCTGGACCGCTTCCCTAAATGTAGTGATCAATCATGGACTTTTCAAGCTAAATGGATCCCTTAAGACCAAGGCCAATTTCCTTCTGGGGCACATGAGACTCAGAGTTTAAGCTGACTTGTTCAAAATAGCACATGGGGCAGAGTCAGCCTGCAAAGACAGGTCCCTGTGTTCTCAGAGGTGGAAGGCTCTTCACACCTTGTTAAATTAGCCCATTTCCTCAAAATAGTTGATAAAGTAAATTGAAAAACATGCCAGATTATGTCATACGATAAGTGAGTTGAAATTTGGTTAATGAAACCCACACAAAGGCATTTTGGACTGTGAGACCCCAGTGACCACCTAGGGACTAGCTGGAAACACAGGAAATCCTCTGAGGACCGGGGAACCCCTGGGAATGGCAGTGTCGAATGTCTCTAAAGAGCTTCGATCCAAATGGAGCTACTATTTTTGCTTCTCTGCTAAATTGTAGTTTGCAAAACATGATGAGTCATTTCAACTCTGTGGATATTAAACCTACAAAACAAGACACACACACACACCCCCCACCACAGAATTTCGAAGAGTCTAAAAATAAAAGCAGTCAGATAACTAAACTGCTGCCCAACTTGGCAAATCTTTAGCAACTTTTCTTCTTGTAGTGCTCAGAATGTCCTATGGAGGTTTTTTGTGCCATTATAAAAACTTCCCTTCCCCAATCCTCACCTTTCATTTTTCTACCTGGTTTAAAAAAATAGCATTTTCCCTTTCTTTCTCCAACCCCGACATATGCCAGTATCTTCCCCCAGGTCATCCTCTCCTCCAACTGGTACTGGTGTGCTACTATCGAATATGAAGTGTATGTGTGTGTGTATATGTGTACATACACCACACACACACACACACACACAACCAGCTATATAGATAATACCAACATGTAAGTACCCCCAACCCAGTTCAAGGAAGAGCACTCCCCTTACTTTGAGGCCCTGGTATACCCTTTCCTATCACCTTCCCTTCCCCCTGAGATAACTATCTCTTAGAGTTCTGTATTTTTCATATCCTTGGTTTTCTTTATAGTTTTACCACATGCATGTATGTTTTCAAACTTTATTCAAAATGGAACTACACTACCTATATTCTTTTTTTAAATTTATTCTGATTTGTTATACATGATGGCAAAATGCAATTCATTTCATATTACACATATAAAGCACAATTTTTCAAGACACTGATTGTACACACAGTATTTTCACATCATTTGTGTCTTATACAGGTACTTAGGGCAACGATGTCTAACTCATTCCACCATCATTCCTACCCTTTGCCCCTCCTTTCCCCTCCCTCCCTTTTGCCCCCTCCAAAGTTCCTCCATTCCTCCCATGCTCTCCCCCACAATCGCCATTATGTGACAGCATCCTCATATCAAAGAAAACATTCAGCCTTTGGTTTTGGGGGATTAGCTTGTTTCACTTAGCATTATATTCTCCAACTTCATCCATTTACCTGCAAATGCCATGATTTTATTCTTTTAATGCTGAGTGGAACATTATGTGTATGTACCAAAGTTTCCCTATCCATTCATCTACTGAAGGGCTCTAGGTTTGTTCCATAATTTAGCTATTGTGAATTATGCTGCTATAAACATTGTCCTGTGTCCCTGTAGAATACTGTTTTTAAGTCCTTCGGGTATAAACCGAGGAGTGAGGAGTGGGGATAGCTGGGTTAAATGGTGGTTCCATTCCAAGTTTTCCAAGGAATCTCCATACTGCTTTCCAGATTGGCTGCACCAATTGGCAATCCCACCAGCAATGTATGAGGAGTGTGCCATTTTCCCCATATCCTCTCCAACACCTATTGTTGTTTGTATTCTTGATAGCTGCTATTCTGACTGGAATGAGTTGAAATCTTACAGTAGTTTTGATTTGCATTTCTCTAATTGCTACAGATGTTGAACATTTTTTCATATGTTTGTTGTTTGATTGTATAATTTCTTCTGAGAGGTATCTGTTCAGTTCCTTGACCCATTTATTGATTGGGTTATTTGTTTTTTTGGTGATAAGGTTTTTGAGTGCTTTACATATCCTAGAGACTAGTGCTCTATCTGATGTGCTTATGGTAAAGATTTGCTCCCATTCTGTAGGCTCTCTATTCACCTCACTGATTGTTTCTTTTGCTGAGAAGATGCTTTTTAGTTTGTATCCATTCCATTTATTGATTCTTGTTTTTAATTCTTGCACTACAGGAGTTTTAATAAGAAAGTTGGGGCTTAATCCGACATGATAGAGACTTGGGCATACTTTTTCTTCAATTAGGTACAAGATCTCTGGTTTAATTACTAGGTCCTTGATCCACTTTGAGTTGAGTTTTGTGCATGGTGAGAGATAAAGGTTTAATTTCATTTAGTTACATGTGGGTTTTCAGTTTTTCCAGCACCATTTGTTGAAGAGGCTATCTTTTCTCCAATGTACATTTTTGGCACCTTTGTCTAATGTAAGAAAACTGAATTTATTTGGGTTAGACTCTATGTCCTCTATTCTGTACCATTGGTCTACAGGTCTATTTTGGTTCCAATACCATGCTGCTTCGTTACTACTGCTCTATAGTATAGCTTTAGGTCTGGAATAGTAATGCGACCAGCTTCACTCTTCTAAGAATTGCTTTGGCTATTCTGGGTCTCTTATTTTTCCAGGTGAATTTCATGATTGCTTTTTATATTTCTATAAGGAATGCCATTGGGATTTTGACTGGGATTGCATTGAATCTGTATAATGCTCTTGGTAGTATGGTCGTTTTGACAATATTAAATCTGCCTATCCAAGAACAAGGGAGATCTTTCCATCTTCTAAGGTCTTCTTTAATTTCTTTCTTTAGCATGTTGTAGTTTTCATTGTAGATGTCTTTCACCTCTTTCATTAAATTTATTCCCAAGTATTTTTTTTTGAGGCTATTGTAAATGGGGTGGTTTTCCTAGTTTCAGCAGATTTGTCACTGATACACAAAAATGCCTTTGATTTATGGGTGTTGACTTTATATCCAGCTACTTTGTTGAATTCAATTATTAGTTCTAGGAGATTTCTGTTGGAATGTTTTGGGTCTTCTAGGTATAGAATCATATAATCTACAAATAGTGATAATTTGAGTTCTTTTCCTATCCGTATCCCTTTAATTTCTTTTGTCTGTCTGATTGCTCTGGCTAAAGTTTCAAGAACTATGTTAAATAGAAGTAATGACAGAGGGAATCCCTGTCTTGTTCCAGTTTTTAGAGGAAATGCTTTCAATTTTTCTCCATTTAGAATGATGTTGGCCTCGGTCTTAGCATAGATAGCCTTAACAATGTTGAGGTATGTTCCTGTTATCCCTACTTTTTAAAGCATTTTGAACATTGAGGGATGCCATATTTTTGTCAAATGCTTTCTTAGCATCTATTGAGATGATCATATGATCTTTACCTTTGAGTCTATGATGTGATGGATTACATTTATTGATTTATGTATGTTGAACCAACCTTGCATTCCTGGGATGAACCCTATTTGATCATGATGCACTATCTTCTTGATATGTTTTTGTATTTCATATGTTTTTGCCAGAATTTTATTGAGAATTTTTGCATCTATACTCATTAGAGATATTGGTCTATTTCCTTGCTTGAGATTGATCTGTTTAAATTGTGTATATCATCCTGATTTAGTTTAGGTATATCATATGCCTCTAGAAATTTGTCGATGTCTTCAATATTTTCTATTTTATTGGAGTACAGATTTCAAAATAATTTCTAATTATCTTAATTTTTATAGTGTCTGTCATAATATTTCCTTTTTCATCACAGATGTTAGTAATTTCAGTTTTCTCTTACCTTTATCTTCGTTAGCATGGCTAATGGTTTATCAATTTTATTTATTTTTTCAAAGAACCAACTTTTTGTTTTGCTAATTTTTTTCAGTTGTTTACTTTGTTTCAATTCCATTGATTTCAGCTCTAATTTTAATTATTTCCTGTCTCTACTGCTTTTGGGGTTGATTTGTTCTTCCTCTTTGTAGGGCTTTGAGATATAATGTTAGGTCATTTATTTGTTGACTTTTTCTTCTTGGAAGGAATGAACTCCATGCAATGAACTTTCCTCTTAGCACTGCCTTCATAGTGTCCCAGAGATTTCAATATGTTGTATCAATATTCTCATTTATTTCTATGAATTTTTTAATCTCCTCCTTGATATCTTTTCCAACCCATTGTTCATTCAATAGCATA